AGTATGCGATTCGGAGCAGTACGCATCAAAACATTATTGGAATCTAGAAAGTCATGCCCGACACCAACGGTGTCCACCTATATATATATATATATATAGATACACTTACATATATATCGATATATGTAATATATGTACGTACGTGTGTTCGTTGTATAGTGTGTACGTGCTATACAAAGAGGACGAACTATATATGAACCATCTATAGTGTCCAATTTTTCAATTAAAAAAAAACAATTGTAGATATTTTTATAACTCTTCATTTGGAAGGCTCTAAGATATTTGGTTAACCATTTCACAATCACATGACAATTGCATTAATTAAACATCTCGCATGTTAAACAAACAAATAACAAGATTACTGATGCGATTAGTGTATATTAGCTCTTTATTTTTAATTGAAGAGTATGTAACTTAATCAAGTAATCTTGTATATCTGATTAAGTCTGAAATCCAATCCATAAACTGTTGTATGATCACCACAATATCGAAAGCTTTGACGGCAAATCAAAATTTGCTTAGTTCTAATGGGACCACTATTCTATTATTCTAGGGTTTATACTTAGAAAAATGTGAATTTTTAGTAGTATATATATGATGCAGGATGGATCATGGTAATGTATTAATATAACATGTGGCCTGGTAGAGAGAAAGAGGTGGGGAAATGATGATATAAGAATGTGAAATCAATAGATCAATGAAAGGGACTAACAATGATAGAGAAAAGGAAAAGGCTAACAAACATCTTAAAGCTCCTATGGGTTGGAGGACAATATGACTGAGATCTCTTAGTGTGGGGTCTTCTTTTAAGATAGAGACGCTTATAATTGGATCCATCACTTCCACTATACTATCTTACTCCTTACTTTTCCTGTCTCTCTCTCTCTCTCTTGCCCTTTTTTTTTCTTTTTGATTTGATTCTTTCTTTTTCGACTTCTTTTCATTAGCCCATTTGCACCAATGTACTTGAAACCCCAATTAGAAAAATAAGAGAAAAATGGTCTAAGATACCATTATCTATATTTTAACATACTTTTTTTAAACTACAAAAAGAAATTTCAGAGTTGAAGTAAATAACTATATATTTAACAAGGTTTCTTAAGAATTTCTTGAGTTTTAGTGGTATTTTTGTTTATTAAGAGTGTTTTTTTTTTTGAAAATGAACCGAAAACATGGTATATTTAAGAAACTCTATTAAGAAACCCCTAAAAATATATTTATGAAATGATTTGTTCTCTTCCGATTTTTTTTTTAAAAAAGCATAGGTAAAGCAAACTATTGATGTTCAGGATATTGATGCTTCAATATGTTTTGGTTGATATAACTACTATAATAAATAGAATGGTAATGGAAAGGTATTGGAAAAGTATGTATAAAATATGATGAAACAGTAGTTGTGGTATAGGTAGCCATACTAGTACTAAGGTGGCTAATCTTTTGTCCTTCTCAAAGGGCCAAACAAAGCTTAGTGATATATAATACTATGGTAAGCATTTCTTCTCCCTAACAACCAACCAAGGACTTTGGGCTAAAGATACCCCCTCTCATAGTTTTCAACACTTTATCTAAATTAATATTTTATTAAATTAAAAAAAAAATCATAATGTCATATCAAATGTCAAAAACAATGGCACTCCATTTACTTTGCTTAACAAATATTATTTATTAATTTTCCATATTCTTTACAGAAAAGATGGCACATGGGAGACATGGTCACAGTGTAAGCAATATCCTCTTCTATTCTATCTTCTCATAGTAGAACCCATCTCCATCCAAAACACGCTTAACTTCCACGGAATATGCAAATAAACCAAGACAAAGATATAATTTTTTTTATAGGAGAACCCAAGATGTTTACTTTTTACCTTTCGTACAATTATATTTTGTTAAGTGTAATTTTTCTTGCTTTCTTGTTTGGTCATGTGAATCAAGTGAAATTCAATTCCTATCGTCAACTAACAAAACGAAATTCATCAATAGACCAAAATCACATTTAATAACAATGATGTCAACATACATAAACATTTTTTGCAATTAAAATGTGTAGTTTACTGATTTGTGTTAATGTTATCGTTAAGTATGTCACATAGATTGAAACCCACATCATACATATTGTTAAAAAAATAAAGAATCTTATGATACTGTATAATAAATAAAGCTATTTTCTTCTAATATAGTTTGAGCTACAAGTTACATATCATGCTAAACTTTTTGTGGCTAGTTATGGTTCAGAGTGAATGAAATATATTTGTCTTGATTCCAAAACTGTTGGACCACTTCTGTGTGTTTGGAGTTATGTTAGACATAACAAGCTGTTCTCTTTAAGTATAAATATTTATTTACTGCCAGAATACTAATTGGGTATATAGTTTGTTTGTATCTTACAGAATCATATAATACAACTATTTCTCACATTTTACCCTCTGCAAGTGTATCAGTAATATCAGTATTCTGTCTCTCCATGCTGGTTTTGGTTTTCTAAGATTTTCAAAGATTAGCAATTTGGAGTTATGTACTACTCAAAGCTTAAAACAACAAAAATGAAGACCTAATTCAAATTTAATTTCATTGATATATATATATATATATTTATATATATCTATTCTTTTTTTCCTTGCACTTGATGTTAGCTTAAAGATGCTCGTTGGGCTTCAGCCCAATTGTTTTCGGACCATTTCTATATTTCTTTTGAATTATAGTGTCTCGCACTCTAACTCCATTTGCTCGAACTAGTGATGGTCGGTTCCAGACTTCCAGTCTTATTTTGGTTTAGGTTGTCCGGCTTGGTTACATGATAGAATGGCGTGTGATTTCTGCAGTTACATCTGTTCTTTTCATGTTTTTGCTCTTTTTGAGTTTTTTTTTTCTTCATGATTTGGCTCTTTTTCTTTAACAAATTGTGCCTTGTTTCAGAAACTGAGTACCTTTCCTTGTAAGCTTTTACTATGAATGATTTCAGACGATTAGAAAAGAAAGGAAAGGATACCAATATTTAACAAGAGAAGACTCCAATTACCCTACATTGTGATACATGTAAAATCAGCTATTATCCTTTCAAAATCCGAAGAAGCATTTTATATAAGAATAAAGACAAAGAGAAATATACTACAAGATATTAAGATTCGGTCATCACATTGTGATGAATTATGAATATATATTGTATGTCACACATTATATACATTGTTAAGAAAAATTCTGACTAATCCAGTGGACTTCTTACATTATTCAAGTATTACCTTTTTTATTAAAAGAACAAGTAATATCTATCAATATATAAAACAAACATTCTGTAAGGAGTCATTTATATCCTCTCACAAATTATGAAGCCATACAATAGTTGTCCATGTCCTTACTGATTAATTCTCTTATATACAAAAGCATTAGATGATGATGATTCACGCCACATCTAGGGATCAGATATTATTAAATTTAAGAAAACTATATTGATTTATCCCAATTGTCCCTTTTTCAGATAAAATTAAAATCTGAAATAGGAGTATAATTTCTTCTGTTCAAAATTTTTATATGCAATAAATAGCAAAAAGAACATCATTAAAACAATTTCTACATTGAAGCCTATTTTTAAAATAATCCTTTTAGAGAATAGAGATAAAGAATCCTTGTTTTTATTATATTGTTATTACATATTTATAGAACTATATATCCACTTATTTATTCTTTCGTCAAACTATCATCTTCTTCCTGTTGGTGTTTTCTAGCAAGAAATGTGCACTTAAATTCGAAATTTGTGTGCGTAATTATGTGGCAGCTTGGCAGGCAGGAATATTAAAAGGTCCACTAATATGAAATGGAAGGCACGACATATTATAAAACCAGCAAGTATTTGTTTAGGCTAACTCGTAGTTTCATAGATCCATTTTAACTAATAGTTTTCTTTGAAATTTATATGGTCATGAACAACACTCGATCATGGCTTATTTACTCGAGAATTTCCACTAAAACATAGCTACCATTCTTGTGGCTATGTAACTACTGAAATAAATCCTAACTAAAATGATTAGTCGAGAAATAGTCTTAATTATTTAATTTTAATAAAATGCAAAACCTATATTTTTATTTATAACTTATTTTATTTGTGAAGACTGAAGATTGTTACAACTTGATAGATAATAATTTTTGTCTTTGTGGGAATATTTCAAATGCCGTCACCATTTAATCCCAATTCCCAACATTAATAACAAGGGTGACGTTTCATTCTCCCAACTGCTACGTCAAAGGAAGTGCGACTCTTATCGATCAAGAAAAATTCAAAGCCATTATTTTATTTTGATATGACAATGGATTGAAAACCCGTTATTGAGGTTAGGGCATTCATATTTCAGAACTTCGCCCTGCAGCCTTTGCCTCTAATTAATGTTTGTCCAAAACAAAATGTGTGTGTGTGTGTAGATAAATTTGTGTAATGTTCTAGTGTAGATAAATGTGTTTTAACTAGGGAAATACAATAAACAAACTTAAATTTCCATTTTCATGCAATTGACATAAAATTGTGGAAACTGCCAAAAAGACTTTGTATATAAAGACTTCATACTAAAAGTCTAAAACACATTGTTTGTGCGTGAAAAGTCGAACCTTCGACCTCTTGCATAAAATCATCTTTGAACTCTTGTTTCGAATTATCGTCGATATATATTACCAATTGTACCATTAAAAGCATATACTGTCACCGGTAGCTACCACCAAAAAAGGTTTATAACTAAATAATTCATGCAAAAACAAAATGGTACTAAGCAAATGTTAAAAAAAAAAAATGGTACTTTTGCGTGGAATGTTGCGTACAAAATTTTGATATATACTTTTTGCTATAATCACATGATCCCGGAACAAAACCCAAACTATATTTTAAGCTTGTGTAATTTATCTTTTCGCATTACATAAATAGAAGATACGTAATGTTAATGTCGTCCAACAAAAAAATATTCAGATATATAGCGTAAGAGCTAGTTGAGGCGCAACGAATTATTAGCTTCATCTCCTCCCGAAAGGTTAACAAACGACTCTCTCTCCCCACGTCTACAGAAACCCTCTTCTTCATTTGGCCTCACATGCAAACACACATATATATCCATATAAATGAAGACACAAAAATAGTTCATTACAAGACAACCCTAACAAAGTTGTGTTGTGGACTTAGTCTCTCATCTTCACCGAGAGAGAAAGAGATAGAGAGATCAACAAATTCTCCAATCTTCTTGGCCTATATTTTTTTTTGATATACTTGGCGGTCCTAGGCCGTGCATTATAGACATATAATTATAAGCCCCGCAGACACGATATGGGGTTAATGGATGCAAGATGGGAAACCGTAGTTCCATTTATAGCTATGGCGTCGATGGAGGCATGTACCATTGCACTCACCATCTTGGCCAAGACCGCATTGACCGGTGGCATGAGCCCTTTCGTGTTCATTGTCTACACCAATGCTCTTGGCTCTCTCCTTCTCATCCCTTACTCTTTCTTCTTCCATAGAGATGAAAGGTACTTGAAGTGCATGATCTATGTTTAAGTGTTTCTCAATTTGATATGGTAAGATCATATGATGATATATATGTTCTTATTTGTCTGCAGTGACGATGAACCGTTCCTCACGAAGCCTTCCCTTGTTCGTATACTCCTACTCGGTTTTACAGGGTAAGTTGAAATCTTTGTTTACATATATCATGTGATTCATTTCTTTGTTCCTATTTCTCTCCCAAATTTAGAACAAAAACTATATATTTTGAGTTAGATGTTTGATCATGAAATCGTTATATTATATTTTAGATACTTTATTTATGTTTTTTTCTTCTAAACAGGGTGTTTATGTTCCAAAACTTGGCATTTTTGGGGCTAAGTTATAGCTCTCCAATTGTGGTATGTGCCATGGGCTTGCAGTCACCTGCTTTCTCCTTCTTGCTATCTCTTGCTCTTGGGTAAATTAATTACTTTTCTTTTAATCATTTTATATCTAGATTCTGATTAACATCTTTTCTTTGATTTTAATTAATATATTTGGAATAAATCTATAGGCAAGGAGGGTTAGGATGGGAATGTAGAAGAACAAAAGCAAGAGTGATAGGCACGTTGATATGCTTCACAGGAGCCTTTGTAGAAATTATTTACTTGGGCCCTTTTATTAGACCTTCTCCTTCTTCATCCCCAAACTCCAATTTCCTCACTACTATCTCACACTACTTGACTTTCTTTAAGAACTCCGATAACTGGGCTTTCGGCTCTCTTCTCCTCGCATGCGCCACGCTCTCTATCTCCATCTGGAATATCATACAGGTAATTAAATTCCCTTTAAAAAGTATATCTATTCTTCGAAAAAATCTTATTAGTTGAAGATGAATACATGCGCATCTTAAACGATCAATTCTCGTGTGAGGCATATATATAAAAGTTTCTATTATTAATTCTTTTTTATCTTGTCGGATTGTGGTATATCAGCTGGATACAGTGCAAAAATATCCTCAGGTGATGAAAGTTGTGTCTGCCTATAGCTTGGCTGGTACACTCCAATGTGCAATCTTCTCGGCATTCATGGAGCCAGACATAAGTGCATGGAAACTCGAACTTAACATGGATCTATATCTTATTATCGCCACGGTACATATATATAATGATCATCTATTAATTACAATTACTATATATTATGTATTTCTTAGTTTGGGTTTTTCTATAGTTGATCATATTGTTACTTTATATATAGGGAATATTTGGGAGCATAATAAGAACAAGCGTTCAAGTGAAGTGTTCAAAAATGAAGGGGCCTTATTATGTGCCATTATTTAAGCCATTTGGGATCCTTTGGGCTTCCATTTTCGGCACAAGCTTCTTTGTCAATAGTCTTCACTATGGAAGGTAAAAAAATTACAATATAAACTATGAAGAGAGTCCCAATGATAACCATAATATCTTTTAATTGAAGTTGAATTTTTCCCTTTTTTTAGTCTGGTATTCGGTTTGGATATTTTTGTTTCAGAAGAATCATATAGACGTGCTAAAACTAGAATCAAATATGGATTGTTTGATATTATTTTGATTCCGGTTCAGATTTTTGTTAGAGAAATTTATTCCTGTGAGTTTAGTTTTGATTTTGCGGTTACGTTCAGATTCGCTTTTGATTATTTAAATTTAAAATAAGTAAAAGAATGAAATTTAAATTGGTTTTCAAATCTATTTTTGGTTTGATTCTGATAGGTTTGGTTTATTATGTTGAACTTTTTGTGAACAGTGTGTTAGGAGCAGCAATAGCAGGAACTGGATATCTATTGATAATGTGGAGTCAAGTTCAAAGAGACGATCAAAAGGAAACGATGGAGGAAAACAAAATTCATCAATTGGATTCAGATGATCAGACAACTCCACTTTTGCTGGGAAATGGTGATGTTGATCAAGTTTAATCCAAAAGGATTGTTTGCAAATTAGTTTTAGTTGTGTTATATAAAAGATGAAGGGTACGTAAATCGAACCCTCGAAGGAATTAAACCCAAAAACAAAAAGATTTAGAGTGTGAAAGAAAACAAATATATATCCAAGTCTTGTAACTCTTTTTTTCTGCGAGTAATGTATCAAAGTCTATTGATTTTAAGGGGAACATGAGTTATACTTATACTTCTTCTTCTTTGGCAATCTTATGCAACCTCGAATGTGGACTAATTAATGACTAATTAATTAATGCCACCACACTTTGGATCTTACGGATCTTCCCCCTAACAAGTAACAAGACAATCACCGGAAGCCCAAAAGTTTATAAGATCAAACTCAAAGCTGGCTGTTTCACTTGAGCGATATGAAGCTTGCTTGGTTGTTCTTGAGAATGATCAAGAAGAAGTTTCAGATTATTGAGAGACTTTTGCACATGTGTCTAAGATGACAATTCGTCTAATATTAGACATTACTGCTAAGAGAAATTATAAATTCACTAAATAGATGTTCATAATGCTTTGTTTCATGGCGATGTTGAAGAAGTATTAATGTAGTGTATATATGAAACAAAGCCCATGTCTCACAGAAGTTCCTCATTTTGTAGGTTGAATCGATTGACTATATCGGTTAGATGATTTAAAATGGTGCTTTAGTGGTTGTAGCTATTAATGTAAATATATTCTAGAGCTATTGACTTGAAATTATGTTTTGGTAAAACAAAGCATAGAAATATGGAAAATGATTGATTACCTTTAACATTGTTTAATCATAAAATTTCAACTTTAAAGTTGTGGTGACTTGTGACTGGTGATTGGTGTTAGTAAAACGTCGAACTAAGGTAGAATTGTACGTACAGAAAAAACATCCCAAAAATGATTAAACCGTTAATATGGTTCCAATTCAGGAAAATTATAACATTTTGTTAAGAAATATTATTCGAACAGTTTATTATAGGAAAAGAGTAAAGAAGAACAACATAAAGAAGTTAGTAAAGGTGGGAGTGGGGAGATGCCTCTAGGGATTGCTTCGACTTTACGTAATCCTAAAAAAGTGAGGAACGAGTGTTTATTTTTTTGTTTGTTTCTGAACATAACGAGTGTTTATTTTATAATCAAACAAAAACAAAACAACATAATAACACCCAAAACAAAATTCGGAAAAGAAAACGTGTGTTTATTTTATTTGTTTTCTAGAACTTAATATGAAAATTAACATTTATAAAAAGAACGTGTAAACTAACACCAGTCACCAGTAAGTTTACACGTTTTTTTTATTTACGAGTTAGACACATGTCACCAGCATCCTTAATGAAGGTTATCTTGAGGTTTTTTGTATCATTTGTATCCCGAGAAAACTGAAATAATCGAGGTAGATAGGATGTTGTCCGAAAAATGATTGAACCAAAATTTGGATATTGATTGAAAAATAAGAGGTTCAGACTATAGTTGGGTGATAATTGAAAATCTATCTGATTCAAAAGAGAAAAGCTTGCATCAGTATCTCAATTTTAATTAAATAGTTGATGGACGGCTGGGAAGAGCTGTGGCAGATAGACTATATCCAAGAGAAAATGAGTTAGTCCGAGTGAAAGTAGACTATATCCGGAGAAAAGAAAAAGTATTCGAGAGAAAATAGAAAATAGATGATAGGATTAAGTTTAATTCGAGAGGAATTTGGCTTGGCTGTGGACCGTGAGATTAGGTCGGTTTAAATGTGGTTTATCGCGTGGATGGTCATGCCGGTACAGGTTATAGCCGAGAGAAATTAAATCGGTCGGGATAAATTCTACTGGAACCAGAAAACGTCGGTTATGTCAGAGTTACTTAAGTTTTTGCGAGTATATAAGATGTTTTTGAGACTTTTTTCAGGAGAACCACATTATTTGAGAGAAATAAAGCGTGAGAAAGAGTTCAGTCGAGAGAAAGCCCTAAAGTTCTGATTATTCCAACAGTTAGCCAAGAGAGATTGAGCCATCGCCGTACGGATCCGACCATCGTCGAGATAAACTGGTAAGCGATCGGATATTCCTCTTAGTATCGAGTTTCCATCAGATAACATCGGACTGATCGATGTATTTTGTGGTGTTTCCGAGAGAATACAGTGTTTGGCTCGAAGAAAAATGAATGGATCATACGATAACCGAGGAGAGGGAGATCAGACTGTAGCGATAGCCTAAAAATCCCTAGAGTGTTCGACTATCTTTGTTACTAAGCGAGTTTCACTGAGATTTCTTCCGACCAATCTGTTTTCAATCTTGTCAAGGTGAGTGCGTGACTGTGGCTAGTGTCTAGGATCGTGGGATTGCTAGGATTTGATGTTTTGCATGATTAGTTATGTGATTTCTATGTTGTGTGCTTAGTAAGTGATAAACGATTCTATGTTATGAGATTGGGAGATGTTTAATGTGGCTATGATGATATCTAATTAACCTCGGGGTAATCTGGATCATGTACTAGCTTAGGGGATGTGAGATTCTCGGTGAAGTAGACATGGGTCTTAAAAAAAATCGATCGTGGGTTAGGGTAGATGATCATGGCCGTTTGATATGTTATATGTTTCTTGCTAATTGATTGTGTGGATGTTAAATCCGATAGTATGCATGTGTGATTAGTACTGGCTAAGGTGTTATTGGATGACCGTACTTACTAAGTATTTATGATAATACTTATGCCTCTCTTGTTTGAGTGTGCAGGATCTAAGCAGCAAGTGGAGCGAGACCGATGGCAGTGATGGACATGGATGGATCAGGGATTTGGGTGATTTTATGTTGTAAGACTTGTGTTTTGTCTTATGGGCTTTGGTGTTGGCCGTTAGGTTGCTAGATGATCTGATTTATTCATTAGCGAACCTTGTGCTTTGTTTTAAGTGAATCCTGAATTCTGTTTAAGTGTTTTTATTCAAGTTATAATGGAATGAAATGGTTTATTGAATCCGCTGTGTATTGAAATTCTAAAAGAAAAGTTTAAAAATTTGCCTAAGTATAGAACTTGACCGTTAGGATGTAGTGAAGGGTAGGTCGTGGTTTAGTTAGCCGGGTCGGGTCTCCACAAGTTGGTATCGGAGGGTTTACGCTTTTAGGACTGGATAATGGTTGTTATTGTTTTGTGTGGAGTTTAAGGGGGTCTGATCCATTCTTCACTGCTAGGTCTCGCGGTAAGGTTTTGCGTGTTGTGTTTGTGAACACGGATTGAGTTAGTTTCGACTAATTGGCATAACTGTAACTGCAGATGGTTGATACCAAGCGTACTGCAAGAAACAATGCGGGGCAACAGGCCGAGGGTTCTGTGAATGATGGTGTTCACGAAAAAGCAAGGAACGCTGAGGGGTTGGCGGCTAGAGCTGCAGCCGAGAATACAGCGAATGCAGCCATGGAATGCTACGGGTGCAGCGAATGTGGCAGCGGTCAATGATGCAGGTGTAGCAGCTGGGGCTGCTGGGAACACGGTTGGAGTTGCTGCAAATGTGGCACTGGTGGGGTTAGAGGCTGTGTTGGGGATGTTAGCACAGGTACTGGCCAGACTTCCTGTGGTGGCTCCTACTCCGGCGCTTGCAGCTGCACCACAAGTAGTCCAGCCCGGTGGGGCTAATGCGGATGCAATAGCGGAGGAAGCAGACTAAGTGGAGAGGGTTCCGACTTACCTCAAGTTTTTGGATCACATGGTGAGACTGGGGACAAAGTTCTTTCCCGGTGAAACAACACCTATTAAACCGGACGAGTGGAGGATGAGGCTGGAAAGGAACTTTAAGTCTATCCGATGTCCTGAGGGCTACAAGAAGGACATAACCATGCACAACTTGGAGGGTGATGCACACACATGGTGGAAAGAGATCGTTGGGAGATTGGTGAACACGGACTGTTCGTATGAGACTTTCTCTGCGATGTTCATGAGTAAGTACTTCCCCCAGGAAGCTTACAACGAGTTAGAAAAGGCGTTTATGTACCTTTGCTAAGGGAGACTGACCGTGAGGCAGTATGAGACTCAGTTTATTCAGTTGAGGAAGTACGTGGCCCATGAGTTTGATACTAAGGAGAAGCTGATTCGTAGGTTCATGAGCGAACTGCGAGTGGAGCTAAGGAACAGGTGTTTGGTCCATGACTTCAGGACAGTGGCCAAGCTAGTGGAGAAGGCGGCATCGTTGGAATCAGGACAGCCGGAAGCAGCTTCGATGACAGCTGAGGCAGAGTCAGCCGTGGCCAAGGCGGGTAAGTGGACATAATCAGAAGTTCGGGAAGAGTGTACTGAGCAAAGGGACCGGAGATTGCAGCGTGTACAGCAAGTGTGGAAAGGCTCATGTTGGAGAGTGCAGACACGGTGGTGGAGGATGTCACAGGTACGAGAGCTTAGAGCATCGGGTACGAGACTGTCCGGAGGAGGATATGCGAGTGGTCCGAGTGTCCAGCAGTGACAGCGCGGTTTTGGTGTGCTACGGTTGCGGAGAACCAGGGAATTTCAAGCGTGAGTGTCCTTAGGCGGGAGTGGTGGAGCAGGCTGTGTCGCACGGGAAGCGAGCATGGGAGGCGCTTACACCACAGGCCAAGAGACAGGTCATCATGCTGAGGGTGTACACGACGAGCGCAACAGCAGCCAACAAACCGCACACTTCTCATCCGATTACTGGTAAGTGTGGTACTTACAATTTTCTGTGAATTGTTTTGTGTGTGTTAGTATAGAGTCCTAGCATTCAAGGAAATGAATGTGTAGGGACCTTGCTAATGGGTGAGGTTGAAAGCCATGTCCTGTTTAACTCAGGAGCAAATCATTGTTTTGTTAATCCAGAGATGATCAGAAAGGGAGAGTTCCGGAAGGAACCTGGAGAAGATTTTGGATTAGTACAGGCTGATGGAGGCCAAATGATGCTCTCACTAAGAATGGTTAGAGATATTTCTGTCTGGATTGACGAAGTTAATATGCCAGCAGATTTGGTGATCTGCAACGTGAAGTCATATGATGTAATCTTGGGAATGGACTGGCTAGGCAAGTATAGAGCCCACCTGGATTGTCACCGAGGAATGTTGCAGTTCGAGAGGGGCGGTGAGGTCTTGGTTTATCAGGGAGTTAGAGCAACCTCTGGAAGCTTTGTGGTATCAGCAATTCAAGCAGAACGACTGATAGAGAAGGGTTGTGAGGCTTATTTGGCCACGATCACTACCACAAAAGGAGGGCCAGATGTAGCCTTGGGCAGTGTACCGGTGGTGAGGATGTATTTC